GTTTTTATTTTTGAGGTTTTTCTATGTTCAAATTACTCATACTACAAAATGATAGTATGGATTTCAATTTTATCATAAAATTTGAGATTATTTTAATACCTGTTAGCTACAGCTGTAGATTTTCTTAATCATTCAGATCATTATTTATAATACAATTTTATAAAAAAAAAATCTAAATATATATAAATATTAGTGATGCACAGTGATATCGGACCAATCTTACCGAAGTCAATATGACTAGACTATTGAATTTATATGAATTCATTGCAATTTGAAATTTCTATTTTCCATTTATAGACGTTTTGACATTGAATCAATGTCAGATACCTTTGAAATACTTACGATAATCAATACAATATGGCCCTTACACTAAATGTATATTATTGTATATAGCTGTGACAGTTGGATTTTTACAATTAGTCTCTTTTTTCTGTTATCTACGTTGAGTTAGAATATTTTTGTTCTCTGATATTTAAAATTAATTAACATTTATGARTTGTCTTAGATAGTGTCATAACCTGAGGGTCTTAGTGACATATGGAAACATTTTGACTTCCAAATATACAGATAGTTATGGTAACCTTTGGTAAACCTCAGGTAGATGAAAAGTAATAAATAATGTACCTACCTGTAATTTTAATTCAATATTTAATTTTTTTTTTTATAAAAATTGTAAGAAATATCAATTTAAAAAAAAGTCAATAGATTTGTATTTATTATTTAATATTGTATTCAGTAATATCACCTACCAAACAATATCATGTTTTCTTCTTAATTTTACAATTACATGTTGTAAAACTTTGTTTTATTATTTGCGCGCTCCTCAGTCTAAATTTATGAGAATATTGGATGCTCTACTGCAATTAAAAATTTTAATTAATTTTATCATTTTCTAAATATAAAATTATTAAAAGTTTATTTYGATTGTTCCGATACTATTTTGAATTGACAGCGCACTATTTGTTTTATCTTTGACCCACATGTTACATAAAAATGTGCGTTGCAAAACAAGTTGTGTTGTTAATTTTAAAATTATTGTGAATTGACTTG